TTGTCTACCAAAAACATCATATATTTTGGCACGGAGGTAGTAGAATATTATTCCGGAAACTTTGCAGTTTTATAACCATGCTGACAGGTTTGGTGCCAAATTGCTTTCACTCATGTATTAATCTGTCCTTTCTAGTCGCATATGACTTAGAGCATCTTCAATAGCATATGTATATTTGGATGTCTATATATTCATATAGACAATGGTCTAAAAAGATCTCCTCATATACACATCCAGTTTTGCATCAGAATGTCTATATACAGGGACCATGACAGATGTGTCGTCGTTAGGGAGAGGAAGAAATCATGACTGCAGCTGAGTTTAGACGACGCATTCACATTGTTCAGGCATGGACATTGTCGAGGCCGATTTAGAAGATGTGTATATTTGAACGATCATATAGACAAGGTATAGACATCCATATAGACAAGCTACTGGAGATGCTCTTACTAAATGACTGTTTTCTCTTTTTTTAGCAAAAAATGACAGTTTTCTGGGCACGGGCCACATCAGTTTTTTGGGGAATTTGAGGATTTGTCCCACCTTTGCTTGCACTTCTAGGATTTGCCCTTCTTTTCATTGACTTTGATCTTTTGCCACACCTTTGCTAAAACTTTGATGATTTGCCCTTTCTACCTGGTTTGAGATTACACTACAAATTGGATGACCCAAATGCCCTTCTTCCTTATATGTTCGTCCCACAGCCCACTTGCTGTCGTGCTATGCTGCTACTGCTCCTCTTCCCACACTCCAATGCCAAGCCACTGCTGCTCCTCCCCGCATGCCATGGTGCGGGCTACGAGCTGATGCTCCTCCTCCTCTCCCCATGTCCTCCTCCCTCCTCTACAACGAACGTGCTCGAGGCGCAGCTCCGGCGTTCGTCCATGGGCAAGATTCTCGGGCGAAGCGCAGCGCCCGTAGACCAGTCGAGCTCTCTGAGGAAGGTGCCGCACTTCCTGCACCGGTCACCCTGCCTTGACGGCGCGGACCGTGTTGTCCGCCACGAGCACCAATAGACGCGTGTGCATCTCCACGGGCACGTGGCCGCCGCCGCCGCCACGCCGGCCTCGCCGAGCATCTCTAGCAAGCCCCCCACGAAAGGACCAAGGGGTCATGCCAGTGTGGCGCGCGGAGGGTGCCGTCCATGGTCCGAGCCCGGGGACGTGGTGGCTGTACATGGCGAGCTCGGACCACGGCGTCCTTCTCCGTGCATGCAGCAGTAGAAGCAGAAACAGCCGGGCGCCCAGGTGCTAGAGCGAGCACGCACGCACACAACACACGCAGAGCACTCATGCACACACGCACGCCCAGGCACACGCACGCCTAGCAGGCTAGCACCCATCAGGCACGCCCAGGTGCTAGATCACCCACGTACACAACGCACCTAAGCACGCCAAGGCACACATCCGTTGGCTGTCCGCCTCGAGGGGCGCCGCCGCTCCCCAAGCAGGTGCTCCATGAGCAGACCGGTGGCTGTAGGTCGAGCCCGGCCGCCGCGCGCTACCTTGTCGTTTCCTCATCCACGCTCGCCTCCAGCGCCATGCTTGGAGAGGCCCAGATTTTCCGCGTCGGGCGAGTAACAAGGCCGACGGGGGCAGAGCCATGGCCACCTCCGCCGGAGCAACAACGGCGGCGGGAGCTCCATCTCCGCCTCACGTGTCTTCCCGCCCAGAGATGTGCTCGGTTGGGGTGGACTGAGATGGTGTTTGTTTTCAGGGACTCGAGGGTGTTTGTTTTCAGGGACTTATTGGTCTAGGAACTTAAATAAGTCCCTATAAGTTTCATCTAAACCAAACAGGAAGGACTTATAAGGACTTAAAGTGGGCATTTGGGACTTACTAAATAAGACTCTTCAGGAGGGACTTATAGGGACTTATAGTTGTAATATGGTTTTATAGAGACTTATAAGTCCCAGGAACCAAACAGGTAGAGACTTTTTAGGGACTTGGGACTTATAAGTTGGGACTAAAAAAAGTCCTAGAACTTATGAACCAAACAGGGATTATTGGTCTAGGGACTTATTTAAGTTCCTCTAAGTCCCATCTAAACTAAACAGAAGGGATTTATAGGGATTTAAAGTGGGCATTTGAGACTTATGAAATAAGACTCTCATGGAGGGACTTATAGTTGTAATATGGTCTTATAGAGACTTATAAGTCCCATGAACCAAACATGTATAGACTTTTTAGGGACTTATGACTTATAAGTTGGGACTAAAAAAGTCGTAGGACTTATGAACCAAACAGGGCCTGAGTAGGGCAGGGGTAGTTTCGACATTTTAACAATGGGCCCATCTTGTGAGGGGCAAATCATCAAGTTTTTGTCAAAGGTGTGGCAAAAGATCAATGCCAATGAAAAGGAGGGCAAATCCTAGAAATGCAAGCAAAGGTGAGGCAAATCCTCAAATTCCCCCAGTTTTTGGGCAGGAGATGCTATCAGTAAAGCCCACTGTCACCGTTTATCCCAGCACACGTTTTTTTAGACAAAGCTTATCCCAGTACAAGTGACAAACCCATGGCGGAGGAGGGAGGAGGAGCCGGCGGAGGAGGCGGACAAGACTCCGGCCGGGGGGAGAGAGAGCCCAAGGCGGAGAAGAGGCCCTCCACGGAGGAGGATCTCTCGGGGAAGGGGCGGGAGCGGGAGCTTGGTTTCCATTCCCTCCGAGGCAACATGCCCATCTCGAACTCCTCCATCAACGCCACCTTCGAGGAGCTCGCCAGGAATGCCACCTCGGATCAGAGGGCGTCGGGGCCCTCGCAACCAAGTTCAACTCCTCTTAGGTTTCATTCGATTTCATTCGATTTCATTGAGCAGAGGTAGTTAGTGTTGTTAATTGCTATCGAAATCCACTCAGGTTACCTGGACTAGAATAGCAGCAGCACTGTGGCAGGGGCTAATTGGAATGGATGGGTGATGGTTACTGTTTAGTGGGGTAGTTGTAAAGGGGAATTACTAGGTGCTGCTATCTGGAATAAATAGTGGTCTCTGTTATGTGATTTATTTTCTTGCTAGATGGAGATTGTGGGGAAATCCATGTGAGTGTGGAATTCCAGATTGGAGCAGACCTGCTAAGCCTGTTATTCAGTTCTGATGAATCGGAGTGTGAAATTTCAGGTGCTGTGTGGTGCTGCTTCCAGTAAACTGGGGTTGTGAAATAGTAATGTTGCTTTTAGCTTAGTACTTCCTCCGTAAACTAATATAAGAGTGTTTAGATTACTAAAATAGTGATCTAAACGCTCTTATATTAGTTTACAGAGGGAGTACTATATATACTATCTGGCTGACCCTTTTTATGCCATTTTTCATGTCTGGCGTCATAATTTGTATTTGATTGACAGGAATTTTTTTATGGTTGTACATTTGTGTCGTCCTGTAGATATTAGCTTTAAGCTGGACAACAACAAATGGGCTCTGTGTCCTTGCAAAGTACTTGGGGTCATCTCACAATCTTGGTAATTTGCAATAAGCTATGTACTTGGCATGCCCACTGGCATGGAGGCTCAAACATTTCATATCAATAGAGGAAATAGATACATACATTTTGCATTTGTATGACACTTGCACGAAGAAATACAGATCTGAAAGATATTCAACACCATGCGTGGTTGTAAAGTTACACTTATTCCTGATAATTAACTATATTACCTCATTGTTCATTGATCTTGCGAATAACTGCAAAAACTAGTGGCCTCTTCTTTAGGTTACATATAATTCAGTTGAAAACATGAGGTATTCATCTCTGATTGCGTGCATCTGTACTGCGGCGTCTCTTATCAGCATTCTGTCTTTTGGTTGTTGCTTTGAACAGGATATGCCGATTCTGAAGATGGAAATCAAGCATTCCTTGATTCTGTTACTTGCAATACTAGCATTTAGTTCTGGGTGTAGCCAAATTGTTGAATCAGATATCTCTAATGTTTTGTCGCCGAGAGCATCGTCAGCAAACTTGTGCAGATTCAGTGAGTCTTTGAACATGTCATCCGTTGGGTTCCTTCCAGTAAACATCTCAAGCAACAATATGCCAAGACTAAACACATCACCAGCAGTCGAGACAGCAGAGCCTTCCCCGTACTCTGCAATATATTTGAAACAAGAATTGATGACAAAGTACATCAATGATGTGGAGCAAAAAGAGTACAAGAATTTCAGTTACCTGGAGCAACATATCCAATGGTACCTCTTATCCCAATTGTGCTATTTGAATTACTTTGATTGCTGATTCTGCTTTCGCCAAGTACTTTTGAGATGCCAAAATCTCCAACACGGGCGCTCATGTCCTCTGCAAGAAGAATATTGCTTGGCTTGAGATCGCAATGGATGATTGATGGTTCACAGTGGTTATGAAGATATTCAATTGCGTCCGCAACGTCAACAGCAATGTCTAGCCTCTGAGCTAGGCTGAGCGTATTACTTAAAGTGAGTTCTTCAGATTTTGGATGAAGCCAATCTTCCAAACTACCATTAGGCATGAACTCAAAAACTAGTGCCTTGAACTCTTGTCCTTGGGGGTCTATGCTCGAGCAACAAGTGATAATATTTAAAAGGCAACGATGACGCACTAGCCTCAACGCCTCACACTCGATGTCAAAGCTCCTGGAAGATCCTGATTGTTGAAGGTTAAACACCTTTACAGCCACGGTTGTACTTGTATCTTCGTCATCCATAGCGCACTTGTATACAACACCGTATCTTCCTTTCCCAAGCAAGTTCTCTTCTGAAAAGCCATTAGTTCCTGCTGACAATGCATGGTAAGAGACTCTCTGATATTTTTCCCCGATAAGCATCGGCGGCAATTGCCCCTTCTCTCCTTGTGTCGTCTTCTTGCAGAAAATGTGAGTAAGGAAGACCACTGAAATGATCAACAATATTGGTCCTGTTGTTGCAAGAGCTATTGTAATTGATTTTGACCACTTTCTTTTATTTTTGCCTGTTTGGTTGGTGGAGCATGGAGCCAAGTGAAGCTGAGGTATTCCACCACATAACATACTATTTCCAGCAACTCATATGTAAGTTAGATTCCTGAAAACACCTCCTTTTGGCACTTCACCTTGCAGATTGTTGAAGGACACATCCATTTTCGACAGCAAGGTCAAATCCTGAATAACCGCCGGGATTGGCCCTGAGAAGCTGTTTCGTGCCAGATACAATTGTTCTAGGTCGCGCATGCTTCCAAGCGTATCAGGTATCGCACCAGACAACTTGTTCATCGTCAGGTTCAAGACACGGAGCCCTTTTATATTCCCAAAAGACTGAGGCATGCTTCCTTCGAATGAGTTCCTGTCCAGCAACAGGAATTCCAACACTATGCAGTTTCCTATACTATCAGGTATCTCACCGGACAAATGGTTTCCTGACAGAATAAGCTTGTTGAGATTGTGCAGTCGACCAACCTCTGAAGGAAGAGGTCCAGATAATGAGTTGTATGACAGATCCAACTGAGAAGAAAGGGAAGTCAACCCCAGTATCTCCTTAGGAATCGAGCCATTCAGTTTGTAATTCATGGACAGATCAAGAATTTGAAGATTTTCCAGTGTTCCAAGGTTTGCCGGAATAGGCCCTTCTAGGCTATTGTTGGGCGCAAGTAGCCATTCCAGCTGTGTGAGATTACCAATAGAAGGGGGTATGAGGCCTGAAAAGCTATTATTATCCAAGTACAGCTGAACTAAGTTCACTAATTTCCCAATGCTCTCTGGTATCCCTCCAAACATGAAGGTATGCCCTATCTCGAGTATGCTAAGGCCTACAAGATTGCCAACATCTGAGGGGATATGTCCAGAGATGTTATTGTAACCTAAGTAAAGGGAATCGAGAGTTGTCGAGAGGTTCGCTATTGAACTTGGCAGTCGTCCACTGAAAGAGTTGTTGCCGATAAGTAGGATTCTCAGCTGACTGCAGTTTGCCATTGAAGTGATGAACTCCCAACCCTCTCTGTCATTTGCTTCAACATTTGTCTCATGCAGGAACAAAATTACGAGATGTTGCAGCCTCCCCAGACGAGGAGGCACAAATCCACTAAATCTGTTCTGTGAGAGCCATAACCCTTCCAGTGTAGTGAGATTGGATATTGAAGAAGGAATGGCTCCGCTGAACTGGTTATCATCAAGGCTAAATTCTTGTATCATGGGAAATCTGTCTCCTATATCGGCAGGAATGTTGCCATGCAGCTTGTTCCCACCAACGGCAAAGTTTGTCAGTGATGACAAGTTGTACAAGGAGGGTGGAATCACACCGGAGAGTCTGTTGTCCTCAAAGTTGAGGAATTGCAGGCCTGCGAGTTTGCCAAGGCTGTCCGGGATGGGGCCATGGAGCAGGTTGCGCTTGAGAGATACAGCATGCAGTGATGACAGGTTAGCCAGAGACGCTGGAATAAACCCGGTGAAGGTGTTTTCCATCAGTGAGAGCCCCTGTAGGTGTGTCAGAGTATCGCCAATATCAACTGGGATGTGACCGTTGAGCTGATTGTAGTGGAGAATGAGGGTTGTCAAGCCGGTGCAGAAGCTAAGGTTGGCAGGAACTATACCAGAGAGCATGTTGTTCCCCATGTCAAGGCTCTGCAATTGTCGAAGGCGGCCGATGCTTGGTGGCATCTCACCGTAGAGCTCGTTGGAGCTCAGGTTGAGCCTCTGCAAGAAGGTGAGGTTTCCTATGGCCGGAGAGATGGTACCAGCAAGTTCTCGGAAGGTCAGGCTCAGCGCGACCACCTGCGTCGGCCTCCTACGGTTGCATGTCACGCCCTCCCAGCTACAGAAGTCGGTGCTGCTGTTCCAAGAGGCAAGCATACTGGAGTTGCTGAGCCCGGCCTTGAAAGCAACCAGTGCGGCCTCATCGCTTGCAGCGGCGATCACCAGGATGGAGAGGAAGGAAGCTAACAGCAAGCTCATCTCACACACTGCCATGTCTTTTCTTGAGTATGTGAATAGAGGCAACGTCTGGCATCTGCATAGTACTACCATGCTTCATGCCTGTGTTGTGTGGATACAGTCTGAACATGTTTGCATTTGGTCAATGAACTAATCAAGTATGATGTTACAGCATCTTGGACTCCACTGGCCTGAATACTATTCTTCCTGACTTTAGAGGTGGAAGCGACTGTCCCGTGGCAGAATTGACACGGCACGGCACATAGTTGGTGCAGATCCTGGATTTTTCACAACCAGTACATGCAACTTATCTGCAGGCTTTAGTGTCTAAAGAAAGTTTAATCATATGTAAGTAAAATATCACAATCATCTACAGTAAACCATAAAATTGATATTACTAGATTTATACTCAAATATGATGCCATATGATATACTCCATCCGTTCCTAAATATAATTCTTTTTAGAGATTCCAACAAGGGCTACATACAGAGCCAGGAAAATGAGTGTATCTACACTCTAAAATATGTCTATATACATCCGTATGTTGTAGTTTATTTGAAATCTCTAAAAAGACTTATAGTATTTAGAAACAAAGGGAGTATAATTGTTTTATGTGAGGCCGCCGCCGCCGCACTGAGCACGGCAGAGGGGTAAAGTGGCTTCTGGACCCACTTGCAGGGGATGCTGCGTTTGCTGGCAGGGCTTGTGGACGAGAAGGATGCTAAGGGCTGCCTTCTGGAATTCCTTGGCTTTCTTTATTTCTATTTCTTCGGTTGCTGAGGATATTATGTTTCATTCTTCACTAATTGTGTGGTAGCCTGGTAGGTACCCAAGATTCTTTCTTTTTATCGAGAGCCCTTTACGGGGATCTTTTCACGGGTAATTTTTTGTGCCTTAGGAGCACGTCAAGTGGTGCATCCAGCTGCCACCACATGTCGTATGTTGGACGTTTTTTCTGATTTTTTTCCATACTCGTTTTCTTGTTTTAGATCGATTTTTTGGATTTTGTATTTCGCTTGATTTTCCTTAGGTTTTGGAGGAAAAACAACTTTTTATGGGCAATTTTTTCTCACAGAAAAAAGATTTGTGCTTCTCAAAAAAAGGGGGAAATGTGTGTTTGCTTCTCGTGAAAGCATAAATTTGCTTTCACGAGCTGTGCTTCTCCGAAAAAATGGAAAAATATGTGCCATCCTGCAAGTTAAAAGGAAACCCACAGGTCAAAGTGCATGCCCCGTTGTTCTGGTCCTCAAACTTGTCAGCTTGTCAACTAGTACAAAATAAGACAATCAATGGAACAGAACATAAATTGAAAGGACCCTCACACGACACCCTAATCCCTGCTTACAGGCAATAATCAAGCTCTTAAACCAAAAAAAAGGAAAAATTCCGCAAATGATGGAAGCAGTATTATGAAATAATCACCACTGCAGATAAAATTTTCCCGTTCTTATGCATACATTGTACAATATGAAATCGGTGACAGATTGCCACTCGTTCTCAGACACAAACAAACATCTTGCATTATATAGATGGATAGATAGATGTGGCGCAGCGCAGACACAAGTTAACAATAATATATCCTGCATGCGTTGATATTGAAGATGCAGCCCACATGTAGGATAGTTGTAGCTAAACATACTCCCTCTGTAAACTAATATAAGATGTTTTAGATCAAGTAGCACTAGTAGAAAACAGGGTTTTGGTCACAGCGCAATATTCACATTAGTCCCGGTTGCATTACGAACCAGGACTAGTGTGAGTATTAGTCCCGGTTCGAGCGGCTGAAGGCATTAGTCCCGATTCAAATGGGCCCTTTAGTCCCGGTTTGAGACACGAATCGGGACTAAAGGGCATCGCACCCTTTAGTCCTAGTTCGTGTCTCGAACCGGGATTAAAGATTTGGTTTAGTCCCGGTTTGAGACATGAAC